GTGGTAGCCCTAAAAGCAGACTCCAGGATAGCAAGAAGAGGTGTGTCAGCATCAGAGTCGGACATCCAAGTCCTCTTTCCATCCCCTAAGCTGCAAAGAAGATCTCTCAACCAGGATGTCTTTCTCCTACCAAAACTTTAACAAGAGACATCATTTTAATCAAAGCCAGCTACACAGGCACCTCCCAGTCCCATCTAGAAAGCCTGTCATATTCTCAGAGGGAGCACACGGTCTGGGTAGTCATGGACACAACAGGGGGAGAGCACTGGGCTGGGAGCCAGGAGACTTGAGCTCTGAGTAGAGTGTTGCCGCCAATTAGCTGTGTCACCTTGGTTAGGCAAGTCACTTAACTTCCTTGGCCTCTTGTGAAACAAAGGAATTGGACTAAAATTTACAAAAGTCTCTTCCAAATATGAAAACAGTAAGCTTTGATGACATATTTAATACATATTTTAACTACCATGCTATTTATAACTATTGTACAATGTTACCTCTTTAAGGGATCTCAAAAATACTTCATAAATTGTGGTTATCTTAAAACAAGCTAAGATATAAAATGCAGGTTATTTTATAAAATTTAAGCTGTAATACTGTTTTTGTGGTGTATTATTGGTCATATGTATGTCTTGTAGCCCAGCTCTCATAGGGAGAAATGTTTTACTCTGTGACAGTCTGCCCTATTTTAGTCTATTAATAAGATTTTCTAAAGTATAAAAGTGGTTCATGTTCAGTATAATGCAGTGGCTAAAAGCATAGTTTCTGGAGTCAGACTTCCTAGATATAAGTCCCAGCTCCGTCAGTGCCACCCATGTCATTGCTACCAAGTTATTCTTAATTGCCAGTTTCCTCAGTTTTAAAGTAAGGTAAAAAACTACTTTTACATCATTTGGCTGTTGTAAGAATTAAATGAGACAATACTTGCAAGGGCTTTGAATGGTGCTTGGTATATAGCGTCGATTCAATAAATAAAAACTATTTTATTATTGTTATTTATGTATGTAAAGAGAAAGATCTCCTTTCTGCTCTCCCCCCATCAACTCCGTGGACCCACTCCTCAGAGAGAATAAGTGCTAGTGGTCTTTTATGTTGCCTTTCAGAGTGATCTGATTCAAAATCTTGTTTGCAAAAATGGATTCTGATTAAAATCAGATTATTTCCTCTACCAGCTAAAGCAGGGATACAGATTTGGACAAGAAAGGGATGTCTATTACGGAGAGCAGTTCTTCTATTTCAGAAGTGTTTATTCTTCCCTCTAAGGCTGGCATAATTGGTGGATACCCTCTCCTAGCCCCTTCCCAAGCTCTGACATGAACGAGTTCCACTGGTTTTGAAAGTACACATAGGAGATTACAACAATGGGAATGAAAGCAGCCATAAAGTGACCATTAGTTGGGAGAGTCTAGAATTTTAAGAAATAAAACTCATTGCCTACTTGAAATAAATAATACAGGACAGTGTTTTAAGTATATAGTCTGTAGTGGTAATCACTGAGGGCTTAACTATCTGGGAAGCACCATAGATAGATTTAGATTTGAGCTAGAGTATGTATTTTATTCCATAGCTCCAATTCAGTTTGAGGAGGGAAGCAACAAGATTAAAGTAGGCTTTTATACTTAAAAAAAGGTAATTTTTAATATAAGTAAGGACATGTTATTTACAAATAAGGTGGTAATTACAAGAACAGAAAAGCAGCTGAAAGTGGATAGTAGCTGCCTCTGGGAAACAGGAATCAGAGTTCGGGGGAGGAGAGACAGGTGATTGTAGGTTTCTTTATTATAAATCATGTAGAACTATTAGATTTGTAAAGTGTGATAAATTTGTATTACTTTGATTTAAATAAATATAAATTAACTTTAAAAACAGAAGTGAATTTTAGAAAAATATTGATAATTGGTTTGATAATTGATCAATTGAGCACCAAATTAACAATTTTTGGAATTGGCTCCCAAATCCTGGTACATGATTTTCTCCAATGTGCAGTGGAATGAGACAAACTACAATGTGGCAAATGTTTAATAAAGCTGATCCATATAATATAAAAGTGTCCTTTTTTCTGAGATTAGTCTACCTTTCTTTTCAATGCTAAAATAGCCTTCTTTTATGAAATGAAAGAGACAGTAAATGGTAATTGGTTTTGTTTTGTTTTTACGTATCCTTCTTAGCAAAATTAGAGATTGAAATCCTTTCTATACCCTTCCCTCCTTTTTGGTTAAATTTTAAAGAACTGTGAAATCCAGTATTCCTAGAAACCACCAAATGGATGCATGGGAAAGGTTAGTATATACAATGGTAGGCAGTTGCAGCCATTGGAAAGATTCTATAGTTCTGTGCAAGAGGGGTCACCTGAGGAATGGAGGAGGAGTGATCCAAGCATGTTATCCCTGGGGAAAACTCCAAGGGACTTGGTGACCAACTGGACATTAGGAGAAGTCAAGGCGGATTCTTGAGATCTCACTTCTCCTGCTCAAGCATCTTCAATCTTTGGCCATTCCTCAGTTATTTCCACTGCCAAGTGCCTTCCCACCATGGACCTTTGCACATCTGCTGCTGAGAAGGTTCTTTCCGTATTCCTTACCTGTTCCTACCTCTTTGCTTATTTGACCTCTACGTGCAGATTTTAATTCACATGCCACTGCTCATTGAACTCTTCCTGATCTCCCTGGTGCTGTTCAGTACTCTTGTTGTGCAATCCCAGAGCACTGTGTAACGTTAGAACACTTATCACTGTTTGTATTGATACATTTGTTTTTGTGATTATCTGTGTCCCCTAATAAGGGCAAGGATCCATGCTTGTGTTTATTTCCTGTTGTGTTTCCAGTGCCTAACACCTTCCTTGCCTGGTACATACTATGGTGTCAATAAGTATTTTAGATAAAGACTGAATGTATCCATCAGTTCCAACACTTTGTATAGATTTTATAATCACTTAGAAATCTATACGTGAGAATGCAGTGACATGCAAATGGAAGAGATACAGGCTTATCATAAAAATTGTCTTCACTGTATCCAAATGACCGTTTCCACCAAGTATACTATCTCAACTTCATAACACTTTAAATACTTCAAACAGAAAGCATGGCTACAATTTCCTGGTCTTTTGGCAGAATAAGAAAATTGGTCCTTTATCAGCCAAATGGGTGAATGAGCAGGCACGCTACAGGAAAACAGGGGAACTTAGGAAATAGAAATAAGAGAAACAAAACTTCTTTTCCTTCTTAAAATCTTTCTTTAAACACTCACTCCTGTCAACCCATCCTGAGATGAAAGACAAGGTTTGCTGCTGTGCTCCCCTCTCTGACTGGATTTTGGGAGAGGCAGGGATGCACTCCTGAGCAAAGGGCATGAGGCCAGGAACAAGGAGGGAGGAATTCCTCAGGTGGCATTTCCCTGGATGCCCAGTTAAATCAGTTCTGTGGTCCCCAAGAAGAAGGCATATCTTGTGCAGATTCATGGAGCATTTCCATATGCGTAATTTTTCTGTGTATTTCCCCATGACATGGCAGTGAGTAAAGTCATGTTTAAATATTCCAGACTGCCTTGATGGTGTCTTTAGACTAAGCTAAGGTTGGAGGGTTACCAGCCTTTGTGGTTGTTGTCTGAAGAGAGCCCTCGTCACTTGGAGATGCCTCTTGAGTAGTAATCTTCCTGGTTCTCAGGTTTGTTATCTTTAAAGAAGACGCATCTTTACACACTTCCTCTCCCCTTAAAACCTATGAAGTGTACGTTATCATCATCCCCATTTTTACAGGTGAGAAACTGAGTCTTGTGAGGGTAAGGAACACGCCCAAGGCCACAAGGCAGCAAATGGCAGGGCCAATTATTAAACCCATACTTTTTCCACACAGACCATCTATAATAATTGCTATAATAAATGTTCAGACCAGTAATTTGGTTAAGTGTGTAATGCACAGAGTAATTCAGAGAAAATTATAATGTATTTAGTTATCCTGACCATCACTTCCCCCTACCTCTCCACTTCAGAGGTTGCACTTGTCCAAGGAGCATAAAACATGATGTCTTTTACAAGTGCACCTAATACAAATAACTAAGAAATACCAATGGTTGTGATAGCCTCAGAACAGGCTTTTAACTTTGGTTAGCATTTTTAAAAACTGAGATATAATTCACATACCATAATATTCACCCTTTTAAAATGTACACTTTAGTGGTTTTTAGTATATTCGTGTTTATGTGACCATCACCACTAATTCGGTACCATTTTCATACTTTGATTCACTTTTGAAGGCTCTTTTTTTACAGGTACAAGAGAACAACTGAGTATGTGCAAGCGAGAACTCCAAGAAAGATCTAGAGATCTCAAACAAAACTGGAGCCAGTAAAGGTAGTCCTGCTACCATAGTCTTAAAAAGGGAACTTCACGACAAATTAGAAGACATATAGGTACCATTGTGTCAACGGACAGGCCACAGAGGACACATTTGTCTTTTGTCCAGTTCAAGAGCTGCTCTCTAAAAGTGATGCGAGCAAAAGGATCCAAGGAAGGTAATGAAGATAAGTAAAGAGCAGGAAAGTAAGATTGACAAGGAAAGCTTTAAAGAACTTGCAGTAATTTAGTCTAGGAAAGTTAAGAACAACCTTAAAGTATATGAAAGGATTGTTATACAAAAAATGGTGACCTTTTGTTCTCCTTCTTTCACTAAGGAAAGGACAAATGGGTTCATTCTACAGTATGGAGGATTAGGTTAGCATAAAAAGTCACGAGACAGAGCTTTGTTAAACACCAAATGGTGGTGGCAGCAAAAAGTCCTCCGATACTTTTGGGACTGGCCCCAGACGGAGTGGTTAAGTTTGCTCCCTCAGCTTTGGCAGCCCAGGGTTTTGCCAGTTCGGATCCTGGGCGAGGACACGGCACCGCTCGTCAGGCCATGCTGAGGCGGCATCCCACATGCCACAACTTAGAAGGACCCACAACTAAAATATACAACTATGTACTGGGTGGATTTGGGAAGAAGAAGAAGAAGAAGAAGAAAAGATTGGCAATAGATATTAGCTCAGGTGCCAATCTTTAAAAAAAAGAAAAGTCCTCATGCTTTTAAAAAACTTTTTAAAAGGTGCAAAGAATAGTATAAAGAATTCCTTCACTCATATTCCCCAATGTTAACACTTTACCACATTTGCTTTATCATTTTCTCTGTCTATATACATATGTGTATATTTTGTCAGAATTGTAAGGGTAAGTTATAGACACAATTCTCATTTATCCCTAAATCCTGTGTACTTCCTAAAACAAAGGACATTTTTCCTGCTGAACCACAGTAATATTACAAAAATTGAGAAATTAAAACTGATACGATACTAATATTTAACCTGCAGATCTTATTCAAATTTCTCCTATTGTCCCAATAATGTCTCTTAAAGCAAAAAAATGTTTTCATCCAGGTTCCATGTTGCATTTAGTTGTGATGCCTCACAAGTTCCTTTATTCTGGAACAGTTCTTCAGTTGCCTTTCATGACCTTAATAGATTTAAGAATAGAAGCCAGTTATTTTGCAGCCTGTCCCTCAACTCTGGTCTCTGCTGTTTTTTAATAAAAAAAAAGGTTCTTACTTGTTTTGGGGAGTTTTACCTGAAGCCCACAGGTAGAATGAGCCACTCTTCTCAAGGTTCTTCCCAGGCACCTCATCCTGATTATTCTTACTGTATTAGAATAATTTACAGATCGTAGGATGGACAAGAAAACATTTTTTGTTATCAGAACAGATCTGCTTGTATTACATAGATTTTTTTTTCTCAGCATTCCTGCATTTTACGACAGTTTAATTTCTTTAACAAAAATAAGTTTGTCTGTTAAAGAATTAGCACCAACTCTTTTTAAACACTGAGACAAATTACCTGCAGACTCCCATTTTCAGAATCTCACCTTTGCGGTGATGAACTCTGCCCAGCTCAGGAGACAAAGAACTACAAAAATGGTTGGGTGTTACTCACTAAAATCATTCAACAAATATTTGTTGAATGCCTAGTATATTTCTGGCTCTGTTCCAAGCCCTGGGAATACATTAGAAAACAAAATAAAACAAAAAAATCCTGTCCGTGTAACCTAGTTAGGCAGATTAAACTTTAAATTTAAAAAAATCAGACACCAGGGATCCGACTTCCTTAAAAAAGAAAAGGCAAGCCTCTGTGAAAAGGGGGAGCTCTGAGATTCGATTCTAACACGGATGACGCTGCAGAATCCCTGGCAAACGCGCTCATAAAGTTCTCAGTTTATCCAAACGCGCTATACAAATGATTAATCCGAACACCAGGCGCCAAAAAGGACGGCGGGGCGCGACTTCCTGAGCTGTTCTAACCATTCGCAGCAACAGTCGCACGCCGGGCCTTGGGCCTCCGGGCAGCCGCCGCGCGCGCTCGGGGCCGCTCCTCGGGGCCACGCAGCGGGTCCCGCGTCCCTGCGAGGCGGCACTCCCTGGCCCAGGTAGGATAGAGCACCTGGGAACAGCGCACCGAAAAAGCCCCGCAGGGAGGTGGCTCAGGAGAACCGGCTCTCCGGGCTGCCTCACCCACTGCAATGCAATCTGGGTGGTTTTTCCAGGTCCCTCCCCGCCTCGATCCGCGCCCAGTCCCTGGCCCCGCGGCGCCTGTAGGCCCAGGAGGGTGGCTCCGAGATAGGGGGACTGGGGGCGGGGCGAGGTTGCTGCTGCGAGCCAACCAGGACGACGGGGGCCCTTTTGCGACCCTGCTCCCTGAAGTCCCAGAGCGAAAAGCACGCGCCGCTGAAACTCGAGCTGCAGACAAGGGTGGCACAGTGCACCTTCGAGCGCCCTTGCAGCGCTGCCTGGCCCCGGCAGAGCCCGGCCTCCGCCCGCTCTCGGGGGACGCAAGGTGCCACCTGCGCCGCGGGCGGCAGCGCCTCCGCCGGCACCATCTCCTGCGAAGGAGGAACTCGGCGGCGCCGGCCTCGGGCTCCTCAAACCCCTGCTCCCCTCCTTCCCTCAGCCTCAGCTCGTCCCCGCTAAGTCCGCGCTTCCTCCGGGTCCGAGAAGCGTCGTCTCCAGCTTCCCCTGACATGCATCCTGAAAGGTTCTCGGATGTGTCCCTGGAGTGGGTTACTGTAGCGATAGGCGTGTGTTGCCTAATTTCACATCATGAATATGCAGCGTTGGACACCTGGAGCCGGATTAGTAATACTTCAGAAGGAATTTTGTTCTCAAGAATAGAGCACTTTGAAATATAAAACTCGAGGAAACCACCTCTGGCGCTTTTCTCTCTGTCAACAGGCCCACCACATTGCCGTCCAACTGGTGGCTGGGGGTGATGGTGAGCGCACAAGCCTCGGCGCAGACCTAGCTGAGCAGAGTAGAGAGGCTGCTCGGCAACCTGGCCAAAAATCGACACATAAGTACAAAGGCAAAAGTATGAGTAGAGGGCGTGTGACTGGAGTGGGGAACTGAGGAAAAAGCTTGTTTACAAAAGCTTGATTTAGACAAACACCTACGCGGAGTAGATGCGTTTTATTTAGAGCTCAGGGCAAGTCAAGGGGAGTGGGTTCCCGCCCCGGAGGACGTACTAGTCTCGAACTAGCCCTCAGGACGAAACAGGACGTAGCAATTAAGGGAGTGGTTGCGAGAAAAGAGAGTGGGGTCCTCCTGCTGCTTCGCGCGCCGCAACTGCGTCTTTGGGCGTAACTTGGGCTGGGCATCCAGCCCCGGGCGTCTGGTTCGGCGGCGCGTCGGGGTTTCACTCCCCAAGGTGGGCAGCGCCTCCGGGTTTGGAGGAGCGTGCGCCCCGGCTCCCGCCCGGAGAGGGGGTGGGCCTGCAGGGTTTGGCCTGCTGTTTGCATTTAAAGGTGTGTTGGGCTCGGGAGCGGCTTTTCCGGTGCTTGGCAATTGCCCCCGTCACCTCCCCGAGGCCGTTGGCCAGTCCCTCCCTCCGTGGCTTGCTCTCTCGGGGCGCCGCGCCCTGGGCTGCTCCGCACCCCAGGCCTCGCCCCTTGCCTCCTTTCGCCTCCCCGCGCCAGGCCTTTTCGTTTGACCCTTTAGAACCTCCGGCCTCGTTCCCCACAGCCGGCATTTCTCCAAGCCCCCCACACCTATTGGTTACCTCCAAAGGGGTACCCCCCACAAGCGAGTCCAGCCGCCCCTTTACCCCTCACCCCTTTCCCTCTACCCACTACCCTCCGGGTGGCAACTGCTTCTCCCCCGCCCCTCGGGTCTCTCCCTCCTCCTTTCTCGCCCTCCCCTCTCCATTCATCCAGCCATTGTCTCCCGCCCCCTCCTCCCCTTTCCCCAAGCGGCCTCCTCCCCCACCGCTGCCACGTCGTGGTTTGAAGGAGCCAATGGGCCGGCGCCGCCAGGTGTCTCTTACCTGCACCACGTGGGGGAGGGGGAAGGGGCGGGCAGGTAGAGCCACATCCCAAAACAGAAAAGCTTTCAGCCATTGCGCGCGCCTCCCGGGGGTGCAGCCCTGCTCCTTGCTTTTTGCATAGACGCACCGGCAATTGAATACAAAAAGGGCAGGCCTCCTTCGCCCTTCTTCCCACCCCCCTTCCTGCCCAGGGTGTGGAGCTCGGGCCAGGTGTGGGCTTAGGTGGTTGGTTACCGCCTTTTGCACTGGCGGTGAGGAGGGGGGGGTGGGCGTTCTTTCTTTTTCTCTTAGAAGAGGTTTTAGCACAGGTTTTCTCGTTCTCACTTCCACCCCACCTCGTCGCCTCCCGACCCCCCTTCTCCCCCTCCCCACCTATCGTCATGACGGCGTCTCCGGATTACTTGGTGGTGCTTTTTGGGATCACTGCTGGGGCCACCGGGGCCAAGCTGGGCTCGGATGAGAAGGAGCTGATCCTGCTGTTGTGGAAAGTGGTGGATCTGGCCAACAAGAAGGTATTTCTCCACGTTTCTGTCCAAACGATAGGAGTAGGGAAGGAAGTTTGTTGTAGAAGTTTGAGGAGTCGGTAAACAAGTGCTCTTGTTTGCCCACTTGTGAGGCTGGACCCGAGGCCTAGAGAATCCAGAGTAAAACCAAACTTGTTGGCCAAGCGCCTTGGAGCCATTTCAGTCCGTCGAAATCTGGCTCAGGTGGGGAGGCCGGGAGCAGCGGAGCCAGGTTTTCCGCCGGTCGCCGGACGCCCGGCGGAGCTGGGGTGGGATCCCTGGGGGCCTGGTGCCCACTTCCAGGGCCTTTCCGACCTGGTCGCGTGGGGGTGGGCCGGGGGCAGGACCGCGCCGACCTCCCGGCCGCCGGAGCCGCCGGTGACAAGTGAGCTTTGATTTTGCGGCCAGAACCCTTGAGAGGTGCGGGTCGCCCCAGAAGGGGAGCGAGGGAGGAAGGTGAAGATAGAGGCTCCCAAACTGATGAAAGGAGAAACTGACCCCTGCTGCTTTTCTCCCCGAAGGTGGGACAGTTGCACGAAGTACTAGTTAGACCGGATCAATTGGAGCTGACGGAGGATTGTAAAGAAGAAACTAAGATCGACATCGAAAGCTTGTCCTCGGCGCCGCAGCTGGACCAAGCCCTCCGACAGGTGACAGCCCTGGGCCGCGCCACGCACCCCCATCCAAGCCGCCCAGGCAGCCCTCAAGCCGGCCAGCCCTACCAGGCCCCACGCCCTCGCCGGGCGGTCCACGCGCGTCCTCGGGGAGGGTGGCTAGACGCCCGGCGGCGTGGGTGGAAACCCGGCCTGGAGGCTTGGGTGGACCTTTTGGGAAGAGGTGGCTGCTCCTCTTCGCCTCCTAACCCCCAGGGTCTTGGGCCAAAATTCGCTAGTTTTCGAGTTGCCTCCTGAGTCATTCTTGAGGCCAGAGAATCAGCCGAGTTTGAATCCTAGCGCCCCCATCCCCCGGCCCAGACCGCAGATGCGTCTGTGCTCTGCCGGGGTTTGGGTCTGTGACTCAGCCCTGGGGCAGGGGGCGCTGTGGCGTAGAGGAGCGGGCGGGCCCCGCGCTGAGGGCCAGAGCCGGGCCCAGTTTAGTGGGAATCCGAAGGTGCCTGCTTGGTTTCAGGCTTCTGAACTCCTAAAGGCTCGATTCCGGTGCCCTTCTTACTTCTTCAGTCGCCTTTGTCCTGGCGCCGGGGAGGATTTGCAGGCCCGAACATGTAGGGCTTCTCTTTGGGTCACCGTGAAACTAGTGGAATCCCCTTGCTGGAACTGAGGTGACCTAAAAACCGGCTGCCCCAGGGTGCTGGCGGGTAGTGCATTGGGGATAGGGCGGGGCGCTAAACACCTATGCACAGGTGAGTGGCGCTCTCACGGCCCCTTCGCACACTTGGTGCGAATTGTAGGAGGAAGTATCATTTCTGGGTTGTGTTCTAGGAAACGTTACCAGACTTTCCAGAAGTCTATATACTCATTACCCACAATTGTTTATCAAAAACTGGTATCTTTCTTAAGCCTGGAATATCCAAACATTTAAAAAAAAAAAAAAAGGCATCAAGAAATGATGTAATCTGAAGGCAACCTGCTGATGAAATGAGACCTGACTTAAAAGTCTTGAATGGATTTATCGCAAGAATAGAGGGGGAACAGAAGGAAGAATGCATTTACTAAGTTCTTCTGTATGTAAATTGCAGGTTGATTGGAAAGCTTCCCTGTCTAAAGGAAGCAAGCAGTTTGTGGCAACAGTCTCTCTTTCTAATGTTGCCCCCAACACCGGGATCCCCCTTCAAGGCAGTTAGTGCCATTTTCTCTGGTTACAGCTAAGTGGGGCCACTTTGCAGAGTTTGTAAATCCTACATTGGTTCTGTCCCTATGTGTGTCTTGTTCTTTTCAGTTTAACCAATCAGTGAGCAATGAACTGAATATTGGGGTAGGAACCTCCTTCTGTCTCTGTACTGATGGGCAGCTTCATGTCAGGCAAATCCTACATCCTGAGGCTTCTAAGAAGGTAAGAGTGCTGGCTTCTCAAAAAATGATTTGGGGTGCCTGCAGGCTTTTCTTAAAAAAAATGGTTTATCCAAGTTTCTCTATTTTAAAAACATGCATATGCTGAGTTACTGTTTCATGGGTACATAATTTCAGTTTGAGAAGATGACAAAAGGATGGTTGTGATAGTTACACAACAATGAGAGTATACTTAATGCCACTTAACTGTATACTTTAAAATTGGTAAATACTGTGTTGTGTATATTTTACCACAATAAAAAATTCAAGACACTTTCATAGAGATGTCTGAGATTACAGTAATTTTATGGATATCCCTTGGTGACTTAATAAAAACAGTTTCTGTTTTTGTTTATGGCAAGTTTCTGAGATGCTCGACAGTCTCCCTTTTCCAAAGCATATTAGCTGACTTTTTGACACTTAAAGTAACTGCAAGTAGGTAGGAGAGAACTGTATTTTAATACATTGTAATATCCCTATGCATGTGGCAAATACTTTATCCTAGAAAGGACAGAGCAAAGAAAAAACTTCAATCAAACCTTTTTCATTGTAATTCTAATAATTTTATTGAAAAGCTTTGTGCTGTAAGCACAGAGTAAAGCACTGTACTGTAAAGTAAGACAACCGTGTAATTAGTGAAACAATTAGAGCTTGCTGTGCTGTGTCTGACTTAAAGTGAATGTCCAAACTGATTGAATCTGTGTCAAAATGATAGAGTCAGCTTATCTTTCTGATATGGAAAAGAGTATGGAACAAGAAAAATACAATCTTACTGTAGATATAATGTGATTTCTATCTCTAGGAAGAACACTGAGGTCTATGAGAAAATGGAGAGCATAGACAGCAGACCCAGTGTAGCCAATCATTGCTAATATAGTTGATCTTATCAACTTAATTAGTTTGAGCTGTAAATTTTTATTGTGGTAGACAGATACTGAACTTGAAAAGGTGGAAGTAAAATATTTTTGAGGAAACTGTGCGAGGCAAGTCTTATAATGAAGGGTTTAGACTGACAATTGACATCACAAGTAAGTGAGTAGTCGTGCAATTTTTCTTTGTTTTTACTCCAGTAGGGAAAAGGGAAGAAATGAGTTAAATGGATAGTGGCTATTTTAAAAGTTTGAAGGAGAAACTCAAGTTCCTATGTCACTCTTTTTTTTACAGCAACCTTAATAATTATTTGATTAAAAAAGTGGAGTAATTTTTGTTGATTAAATGCTAGGTCAATTGCTATACCCTTGATCGAGAAATAGATACATATAAGGATTTTTTTCCCCCTCAAACTCAAGAGGAGGGATACAACTTAATCCCTTCCCTATTGGGCTGGAGGAAAACGGCTGTTTTTGTTATTTTAGATGGACTGCTTTGGATATGGGAAAACCTCCAGAGAAAAACTGAGTTACTTCTACTAGGATTTGATAAAGAAAACTAAAACAATTTAGTACCATGATGAAAATAATTCATCAAAGAAAAATAGGGAAAATGGGAAAACATAAAACAATCCTGCCACTCAGAAAACAATATGTTGAAGTATTTTTCTCTGATATGAACATATTTGGATATATTCTTCCAAATTTTTGTAGAAAAGCCAAACTTTTACAAGGAGCAGTCGTGCTACATTAACCTTTTAGTGTACTTTATAATTTAATATAGCATCAATATCTTTTGTAAGCACTAAATAAAATTTATTAAATGGATATAGATATTTAAGCCAATATTTTATTGCTGGACTTGAGTTATTTTCATTATAAACAGCTTTTAAATGAGCTTTTTTGTAGGTAATCTTGAGGATTCATGATTCTTTTGGTAACTATTATGAAAACTGACCATGAGACAGTGATATCTGTTTCAAATATAGCATGAGCAGCTCACATCTAATAGAATCCATTAGAGGAAGTTTGGACAGAAAGAGACATTATTGCATAGGTGTTATGGGTCACAAACATTTAAAGGTATTCATTTCCTTGACATTCTAGTGTATAAATGGGTAGAAATTCCCAGTAAGTAAAAACAGACAATTTTGAAATTTTAAGAAAAATCTAAATTTAGTTTAAAAAAAATTAATCTTTGAAAGTTATTCATTGAGGGATTTTTTTTCAGGAAAGGAATGGAACACTAGTGTAATAAATTTCTCCAGTTGAGCTTTGTTTAATAACTATAAGAATGGTTCTGGTAGCTAAGAGCAGCAGGTAGCTATTTCTCCTTTGTCTCTGAGATTTGTAATATCTTCTTTTAAATCTAATTTGAGTTGTTAGATATGGCCAGAATATTGGTAAGGAAAACTAATGTAGGACTATAATTTAGCACAAAAATAATCCTGTTCAGGTAATCAGGAATTTACTTTCTTAATCTGACTTTAATACAGAAAATATGCATTATCAGAACCCAGTATTTAAAACTACTATGTTTTATAACTGAATCCTTTGTCCAGGTGTACACTGTAAACATATGGATCTGTATGAGCACAGAGAGGGCTAAGATTGCTGCCTGAAAATACAAGTAGTCTAAAATGATTATGGCTGGAAAAGAGTGAGTTTCATCAACCAGAAATATAAAATATAACAGCCCAAATGTATTATAGCTTTAGAAGTATTTTGAATGGAATGCATAATAGATCACAAGCATTATAATCCACTACCTTAAAATAAGATGA